TTAAAGTAACCTCTCTTCCCCCATTTCTCTTTTCTTTATTTACTTCTCCAACTCTTCCATGTTTTGTTTTGTTTTTTATCAAGAATGGTATGCTCTGTACCTTGTAGGATCTACAACACACCCCCAAAACAAATCCTGAGAAGAGTAACTGTCCTCCATGTGAAGGGAACACCCACACACATGCACACACATCCACATACACACACACGCACGCTCCACATACACAAGACTTGACAAGAGAGAATAGAATTAAATGACAAGATAATTGGTACACAAATTAATTGCTGCTAAAACCATATATTTTAATTATATACAAATCAATGTATATAGGTTGATTTGCAAAAGATTGTGGATTAAGTTTTGAACATAAATTTCAATAGATAAAATTTGGAATTAGGCATAAATTTTAGGAAAGGGCATGCCAAACAGAAAGTGTTGAATAAATAATAGGTACAAATATATTAATGAGCATGGTTGGGGGAATTGTAAAAAAAAAAGAAGGAAAGAAAAGGAAAACAACTTTCTGCTTTATATTTATATCAAACTGAATAATGTAAAATCTGCAAAGAGTCAAGGAATTATAAGAAAATATTTATCCTTTGTCACCAGTAGGGATATTCAGAAGCTCATTTTCTTTTTCTGTATTTACAAAGTATTTTTCTATTGACTTGTATCTGTGTTAGTTTTCACTCTCTTATATGTGTTCTTAATTACATGAAATATACCCAAAGACAACCTCATTGTTAACAACTTATATAATACAGATGAAGTGAAACTGTTAACTTGCATCTGGACTTCTCAAGGCTGAGTTCACTGCTTTGAGGGATATTTTATTCCTGACCTTTTCTCCATGCATCTACTTTCAATTTGACATTCAAATAAAAGTGTATGATTTTACATCAAAAAAGAAAGCCTAACAGAATTCCTACTATATTTATGGCTCTAAAACTTAAGTTTTACCTCTTCTTAATGTAATTTTTTAGGTATGTTCATATGCTCGTAGACATAAAATTATGAAACAATTAAAATCATACACATAATCTCTTATATTTGTTAGCTTTTGTTTTATGCACACACATCTTTACTCTCAATTGCTATAAAATCTGGTTTCTGCCCAGGGAGCTCTGTTGTTTCCCACATGTCTACCTAACAGCCGAAGGGCTGTCCCTTCTCCACAGCAGGGCTCTCCTTTTGCTGCCTTTTACTTTTCAGAAATTATTTATAATTGGGGGCCACAAATGGCAATTTATTTTCCCCTGTTACTTTGGATTTATTATACTAAAAATGCCCCTCCACCCCTCTCTAGAGATTATATATAACACTTGCAGATTCATGCGCTCAGTCATCCATCTGATCAATTCATATATTACTTTTATGGAACAAATTAACTGCTTTCCACAATTTAAAAAAGTTCCAACCTAGCTGTTATTTTTATAATCTATTTTTCCTCAGGCAGTAAATCCAATCAAATATTGAACACACAAGGAACAAATTTCAGTTTAAGAAATAAACTTAACGGCGGTTAAGAAAAGAAATGAGCCCAACTGCTTTCCAGAGAACAAGACAGGCATACATGAGCTTTATGTACAAGGCGTTCTCACTGCTATGTCGTTATGCTTTCCCACCGTCAGCTAATCTAATCTAGTCATCGTAATAAAAGACAAGTCAAAGGGAAAAACAGATCAGCTACTCTCTTCTGTTCACTTACTTTGGAACAGCATTATCTTTGCCCTAATTCTCTACCGAACTATTTTGTTTTTATTTCATCTATCGTTTACCCTAAATTTATTGTCTCTCCTTTAAATCAATATCCATCATAAGGAAACTTCGTTATTCCCTTTCTCTCTCTATTTTAAGTGTATTATCTCTTTCCCTCTGGTCTCCCTTAAATATTGTTTGTACCTGATAAGAAAAGTTAGATTAGATGTGTACTGGAAAGGGAGAGGGAGGGGCTCCGGATTCATGTGATAGTTTAGATTATTGCCCAGTAGATAGTCACCACCTTCTCCCTGGCCCATCATGTGACATGTGGCCAGCCAGGTGCTTGGTCATGTCACTTGCTTTGGTCAATGAAATGTGAGGGGATGTGATGTGAGCAGAGGCCCCGGATGCTGTGCAGTATGGCTTTGCTCTTGTACTGGTCACTTAAAATGGGAAGACATACCCCAGGGAGATGATGCATCTTCACTCCAGGCCCAGTGGCAAACACCTGGATAAAACACCTGAGCCAGTTACAGCCGAAACGAAGTGGAGGAAACCAGCCACCTGAAGTAGGGCTTAGCCGGAGGAACACTTCCTAGGTCAGCCGAACGACCTGCATATTCAGGAACATGAGCAGAGGCGCTTATACATCACTGAGTTTGGAGCTGCTTCATTCTGAGGTACCTCTGTGGCAATTATGAGCTTTTACGTTGTCAAATGCATCAAATGCACTCAGAACGTAGACAGCTTCACACAGTATAGGTCTCTGGAGGGCAGCAGCCGCTCTCACAGGCATAGGTGAGGCCTCAGTGATGTTTTTATTCCTTTCCTAATCTCCCACTTGTCACACTTGAAGCAAAAAAGAAAAAGAAGGAGAAAGAGCGTGTAACTTGCTGTTTGGTTCTTGGCCAGCTGCAATTGACAGGGAAGGAGAGCCCTCTGGATGGCAAGACAGGAGAAAGACATCTGGAGGTTATAGGCAGGTAAGAGCAAGACATTTCAGAGAACCTGGGGGGCAGCACGACTCCTGGAGGTGATCCACATGACGTGGCATCCACAGACTTTGACTTCAGCCAGCTCTTCTTACCAAGGAACAATGAGGTGCAGACGTTGGCCACACCCTTCACCCAGCATGGACATTGTTATCATCTGTCTGTCTTTTCAGATCCTCTCCCCATCTCCTCCCCTCATAAAAAGCAAGGAGGTTGCCCACTGACCCAGTGATGCCATTTCTAGGTACCTGATAGACTGGGTGTAAGGGAATGACCCATCCCAAGTGAGAGATAAGCTACAGACGCTACGGTAGGAGACACACAGCCTCAGTCGACCTCTTCACATTAATGTTAATATTAGCATGTTAATGGTTTGGAAAAGTTACTGTGTCAGTGTCGCGATATCATGTGCACATACACACCGTATGCGGAGAGAGCTGATGGCTACTCTGTTTATTGATTCTCATAAAAGGGTTTATATAGGACATGCAGGAAGCCTCACATACCATTTAAGTTATAACAATGTTAATAATCTTAAGCCATTTCGGTTCCCAGGCACCAGGTTCCCAGGCTCCTTCAGTAAGCACAGGATGTTACATGATCAAGGACAGATTGTTTCAAAGTTCGTCGCAAAACTTCATTAAGTAGGCCACCTCTTACCCAGCCGGCTACGTGACATTTCTCACAGTTTGTTTATCAGTTCAGCCCATGGCTTATTCTCTAGGGCCTCCAGGCGGGGGCCTGCATACTGTGGTAAAGAAATGTGTTAGCATCTCCTAATTCTACATTTATTTTACCATTTTATAATGGAATCCTTTGTTCACAACAATGGAATCCTTTAAGCAACCATTAAAAGCCTTTGAAAAGGCTTGAGAGAGACCTGTGTGGGAATCTACACTATAATTAAGACTATATTAAACTTCTATATAGAATGCAACGTAGCTTGCATTTTTTAATGAAAGTTAAATAATGGGTCTTTAAAATGTTGGTCTAAAATATAAAGCATTAAAAAAGGTTTAACAAGGAGGTTTTCAATAGTTTGTGAATAACCAGCAATCCACAGGTTCTAATGGACCTTTCTAGAACACTCCACTCAGCCACAGCAGAAAATACATTTTTTTCAAACATCCCTGGAACATTCACCAAGAAAGATCATATTCTGGTTTATAAAAACAAACCTTAACACATTGAAAAGAAATCAAGCCATATAGAGTGTGTTCTCCTACCATAAAGGAACCAAACTGGAAGCTGGTAACAGAGAGACAACATGAAAATCTCGGACACTTGGAAATTAAACACACACTTCTAAACAAGCCATTGGATCAAAGGGAAAGCCTCAAAATAAAAATGAAATGATATGTGCAAATGGACAGAAATGAAAATACAATGATATGTGAATTGGAATTTTTCCTCTTTGTTTGCATTAGGAAGATTAAGATTGTCTGCTTGGGGTGTCATAATCAAATTAATGTCATAACAATAATGAGATAGTCACTGCACCAGGATTCTGTGTACCTTTCTCATTTAATTATCTCAGCTATTTTTAATGCATATCTCAATCCTGTCTTGATTTCAAGCCCTGTTCCCTCTATTTTTATCAGCATACCAGAATACACTCATTATAGCTATTAAGACACACTAATATTATCTGCTCAAATTTGGAAATCAAATATTGGCAAAGTTGTCATATCTGTGTTTTCAGTAATTATGGGTCTAAATGCAGTTCTCAGAAGTGGTCTCTTTACTTTGTTTATTGCGCCAGACAAGCATCACCAATCTGTCATGTTCCAAGCTACAAAGTGCTTCATTGAAGTGCAATCAGGACCATCCTTTCATCTGTCTTGTAAAACTTGCAAAGATAGTATCTGTTTATTTTAACAGCTAAAAATTAAACAGAAAGAGAAGAAAGCTTAGAACCATTGATTAAGTATTAAAATAGAACTTTTAGATAATTTTGTCTAATCACATAGCTAATGTCTGAGTCTGTTCTGAAATGAACCCAGCAAATGATGGTAAATTGTATTTGAACATCTCAATTCAC